TTAAATTTTCGTTAATGTAACCCTACATGTGACGTTATAAAATAAGCGGAACAGTTAGTGTAAATTTAACTCAAAAACAACAACAAATAAAAAGCGGGTAAGTGGATGTGCTTTGTTGTATAATAAGTTTCATTGTACACGAAAAACGATTCTGAGCGGAGACGGTTTGTCACTTGTCAGTATATGATATTTTATATTATATTTAAATTGTTTTTACTTATTAGTTATTATTAATACGGTAAGTAGACTGTAAGTTTAATTAATATTATAAAATTACAAAAAAATTACGAAAATTGTTATTCTTGGTTATTTAATATGTAATTTCATCCAAATTTTAGCTTAAAATATCTATAGAAAAATGTATGAATACTGAATAGTATTCAGTATAATAAACTATACAGGTACCAATAATTCATTTATAAATTTATTTTTTAATAGCACTTGCTGTGGCCACAAATAGGATTTGGAGTGAGATCAGTGAACATTTAAATTATAAATTATCTGCTAATGCAATCCATACATTTGTTCAACTAAAAAGGCACGGAATTTGGGGAAAACTAGGTTTTTCCACGAAAAAAACTTTACCAATATTCCCTGATAAAATAATAGAAGTTAAAAATGATCTTGAAAGTGGTGTGTTATTCAATATGCTTATTCGTTTAAATAAAACCAAATTAATTACATTTATATTTCTTAGATGAATTTACTGAGTTGAGTAATGATGATGATTGTATCCCCCAAAAAAAATTTGTTTTTACTTTATCAGCTGAAGAGTGGCAGCAAATCCAACCTCAAGAAATTAGTTATAAATTGTCTGATAAAAATAACCCCATACGGAATTCACGTTCATATGTAGTTTTACCAAAAGGTTCTTGGAGTCCAGTGCTTGCAGAGCAATTTTGGATACACACAGAATTACCTTGTTGCATATCCTTCAAAAGAGCAAAAGTTTTTCCTAATGGACAAGTATATGTTAAAGTCATAGGACGTTGCTCTGTTTGTGAATCATACTTTGAAGGATTTGTATCTCAAAGACCAGCAGAAAATGCCAAGTAATACATTTATTGTTAATAATTATAGGTAATTTCAGTTATTAATAGTTTATTAAAAAAATATCAGGGTTCTTATGTATTGTACATATAAAGGACATTTTCATGAACAGCACAAGGCTAAAAAGAGACGAATAATTGGCCCAGCAAAAGATAGAGCAGTTTCCTTTCTTTCTGAAAACGGAATGTCAAGTGAAACATATAGGGAATTAGAAGCTAATCGTGTTATGAAAATAGGTAGGTGCCTATTGCAAAATTATTTAAAATATTAATTAATTAACCTACAGGGCTTGCATTTGTAAAAAAATTGGTTTTACGCGATGTACAATTTAAACGTTATACAATTTTTGCATTTGTCATTATTTAAAATTAAAACGTTCTGCTACAACTTTTACTTTTATCGTTTATCGTTTATAATATATAACGCGGGGATGGTACGGATACGTATTTATATATAAAAATAAATCATGTGGAATTAATATTTCTAAAAATTCAATAATATTATAATTATTTAAGTAAATGGATATTATTATTTTTAATTTTGAGTTATTTTTCGCTTACTTAATGATGTTTTACAAATTCCATTTTGAGTTATGTTTAGTTTAATGATTTACTATATATTTTGTTGATCGTTATGTTTTATTTGTGATATTTAATTATTTTTATTTACAGTTTTCCGTTTCAATTACGTTGTCAAATTTAAATCGTTTTTTTGTCATATATAACGTTATAATCATAACGTTATTATAATGTTTGCAAGCCCTGGACTTATAATATGTCTTATTAATTATTATGTTTGTTTTAAGTATAATTATCAAAATTATAAATCCGGGCTTGTCCGGAACCAGTACTTTTTGCTTCAATTACAATTCATTAGTTCTATATCCCAATACATGTAATAGGTAATTAATGGATACAATATATATATTTAGGTGCTGAAGAACCTGCAATTTTACCATCAGGTAATGCGCTGAGAATCCTGAAATATCGTAGCCTTGAAGCACGGAAAAGACACAAAGATACTTTAACAGCCTTATCAATTATGAGAGATGAGGATGATTTTAAGAATGTCATTCGTAATATTAGTGTATATCCATTTTTTTTAAATTATCATTGTGGTGAACAAATTCATGTTTATCGAAATTACTGTAGTAATATCACTCGCCCACGACTGATAATAGATGCTACAGGCTCTGTAGTTAAAAATTTTTACAAGTTTGGAGTGGAAAAAACTAAACATATTTTTTTATATGAAGCTCTTGCTTATGACAAGGTGAACCAACGTGGGTTTACTGTAACTAATATGTTAAGTGAAAAACATAATAATTCGACCATTTTTATATGGTTGTCTGAATGGTTAAACTGTAATGTTCAACCACCTAAAGAAACAGTGTGTGATATGTCATTAGCGCTGCTGTCAGCCATAAGTCATTGTTTCACTCAGTACTCATCATTGAATGATTATATTAACGCTTGTGCTGATTTGGTTTTAAATGAATTACCACTCCGAGAATCTCATTGGCTACCAAGGTATGTATAACATAAATCAATTAAAAATTAAAATGCTTGAGCATCTATATTTTTATTAACTATTCTATACGAGTACCAATATACTAGGTATAACGAAATATTATCATCTGAGTAAAGGAGATAGTGGTTACTGTTTATTTTACAATTATGTCAATTTGCTTTTGTGTACAACTTTCTGCCCAAAAATTTTTATACAATACATAAAGATAAACTCACTAAATTTTCTGAGTTCAAATTTTACATCTTAACCAATAAATTACTTTAGTTGTGTATATCACATTGTTATAAATGGTGTTTGGCATAAGGTTTATTAAATCTCATTTGAATAATTTTTTAATAATCGTCTTATCTAGATAAGATTTTTAAATTTTAACTAGATCATTTTTTCCTGAAATTATATTATTATTCATCTATTAACTCATCTAGGTTATAGATGATTGTATTGCAAAGTAAATATTATAATATTATCTAATATCTAAATAACTATTTAGTTAACTACGCCTAAACCTGGTTTTAATTATTGTTATTAATACGTTTAGTAATTGATTATCTTTTTAAGGTGTTTTATCAGAGTAGACGTAGCACATTTTATCAAGTTAACAACTAAATGGGTGCCACTGAAATCAGTAACCAAACGTGTCAGGAAAGTCATTCTTCGAGTAATCGGACTTATGGTTAAATGTCAAAATCTTTCGGATATAAAAAAAATTTTGATTTCTCTATTTGTTGTAATTACAAATGAAACTGATGGTTCTGACATAAACACTGGATTAGCTACACCGTGTGAATCACATAAAAAAGAATTGATCAACTTTACATCGACAGGTTGTTTAAACATATATTTTACACAAAAAAAATTGTAATATTAAATATTAAATTATGACTATGAATTGGTATGTTTTAAGGTACTATAAATGAAGACGAAGAAATGATGTTCAATGATGCACAGGAATCCATATTGGAAGAAGATGACAATTTGGAGGAGGGTCTACTAGGATACAACCCATTCCAAACCTGGGCTGAGAACATTTATGAAAACAGCACGCAATATATAAAAGAGGGAACAGGGATTAATGCCATGTATTTACCGACATTGGTTCCATATGTTATAAAATGCATGAAACTTTTACCTCTATGGTCAGGTATCATGGTTCCAATATATGGATATGGTGATTAAACTGCAAGTTCTGCCGCAGTCGAGTCGAGTTTCAAAAAACTTATAACTGTGACATTCAAACAAGACAATTTACCGATTACAATTGAAGACTTTTTACCACGTCATATTTATTCACTACGAGGAGCATCCCTAATTCAATCAAAAAAAACTCCAATACCACCAAACAACAATGATGAAATGAATAGACAATCAAAAATAACTTCTCAATCAGACAACAAAAGACTTATTGAAACTCATCAACATGTTGAAGAAGTTGAACACACAAACATGGTTTCTGAACAGGAAAATGATTTTTTGATCATTCCTGAACAATCAAATTGTCCGCTTTGCTCTGAAGGTATGGATACAGGAGCACATAAATGTTTTTACTGTGGAATACCAGTTCATCCAATTTCCGCATGCTCAACTTATGTACCTGGTAATGATGACATGCGAGTTTGCATTATTTGTTCATATGTAGAAACTAATGTAAATGAGGAGAATAATGCACGTGAAACTTGGTGTAGGATGAATAAGAAACAGCGTAAAACTAATTCATACCTCCAACCTAATCCACATTTAAAACATTTGAACTTAAATAATTCTAAACACACCAAATCGCTACCAATTCTAAAAAATGGTTCACGTTCAGAGGAACTTAAAAGCTGTAAATCAAAAGTAACAAAAGGAAAAATCGTACTGACGAACACGTGTGCATTTGATTCATTGGCTTCACTAGTTATGGTACCTATATGTTATATTATATATTTAGTATTGAATCTTTGTAAAATTGTATATATTATATTTTACAGGTATCGTATTGTGATAGCAAACCATATGCCGAAAAAATTGATTCTGTTGAAAAAAGTCAATATCTAAATTTTATTTCAAAAATCATAAAAAATGGTATTACATCTTCAACATATACAGAACGAGCTGATATTATAATAACCAAGTTGAATCCAGAATTAAAATTGATGGATTATAACACTACGTTGGCTATTTGTGACTCTACTATGGGTAAAGTTATACATTCTATGTTGACAGAATTTCCAACAGTAAAAGAGGCTATACGATGTACATCAAACTGCCAAACAAAATGTAATTCACTAGTGTATTTAACATATCAAACAGAAAATGGTCGTATACATGATTTGCAACAATTTATTGATGATCGCTAACACATCGAAAAATCAAAATGTACACAAGAGGTGTCTGGAAACTATTGTGATGGGGTGAAAGAAATAATATCTGAATTCTCAGATATGCATTTGTTTATTGATGTTCTTCATTGGGAAGGTAATCTTTTTTAGTTTTTTTATATAGTAGTAGTTTTTATAAAGTAGATAAAAACATTTAAGTTGCTTCAAGTCTGATGATAAAGTTGAGAATAAACGGTATGAACAAAAATCATAACGATTTGCACGTAGTTTCCAGATAATGATTGTATCATAGTGAAACGAAATCAATTTTGAATACTAATTAGATAACTTATACTAACACCCAATATTCTTTTATCTTCTCTAAATACATTTTAATGTAATTATATTTTGTCTAGATAAACTGTTTATTATTTTAACTCAACAACGTTATTTATAAACATACCTATAGTAATAATATTGTAATACTTAATACAAAAAAAAAACATCATTTGATGAAAACAAAAAAAGTACACAATGCTATGTTATGTGTATAGATAAATAATATTAGTAATTAAAAATACAAAGAGAAAAAATACTGTAAAATAAAACAAGTTGATTGCATTTATACTAACGTCAAAACTAAATTATATTTCATAATATTGTTACAGGAGAAAATGTGATTTGCGAAGACCGCAGCTGTGAAGCAGCAGATCAAGTGAAAGTAAAGTTATGTGATATTCCACAAATTTTACAGTGCAACTCAAAAACATATGAGCTTAGAGGAGTACTAAGCTTCAAAGCCGGCAAAACGAAGCTGAGAAATTCAATAGGGCATTATTGTGCTTTCGCAAAACGAGGGACAAGCAATTGGGAACAGTATGATGATATGAAGAAAAAACCAATTCCTATAAAAAGTACAAAAGTTGTAAATTGCGAATTTCTTGTATACACAATATAGTAAAAAATTAAATATTTAATTCTAATTTTTAATTTGTTCATGTATTTTATTTAAAAATAAATAATAGTCCAGTGCAATTAGACGAAAAAAGGGATTCAGCTCGGAAAAATTCCCACCTAGCTGAATTTTGGTACACATCTTTCTTACATCGTTGTAAACAATGTCTAAAAAGTCGACCTCGATATCATGTACGCGTTAAAGGTTATTCGAGGTCAAAGGTCACGAAATTGGCCTTTTTTTAATATCTCGTTCTTTATTGGTCGTACAAAAAAAAGTCTTTGATACAAATTGTAGAAGAGGTAATCATCTACAAAAATGGTTTCTTGACATTTTCACGTCCAGTTGATAGTTTTTCCGTTATAAGGCCAACAATGTGTACACTTTTAATGAAATATGATTTTTTCGCTAAAAACAAGTAGCCTTTGCGTTAATATCTCGCTTTATACTGTTTATACGATAAAAAGTCTCGAACAAAAATTGTAGAGGACAAAATTCTCTACAAAATGGTTATATATATATGTATATATTAGGGTGGTCCTAGTCTATTAGGTATGAATTTCTAATTATGTCTTTTCTTAAATTATACTTTTTAATAATATTTGAATACACTTAAAAACGATGTACAAAAAGTTGCATGTGAATTGAACAAGTTAAACCCGTGCCACAAAAGAGTTGAAATTGTCTATACCTATTTTTTTTTATGAAAATAGCATATTTTTCTTAGATTTTAAACATAGTATATTAAATAATGATTCTATACAAAAAAACAATAAAACATAATTTGTTAAGAAAAATATTTTATATTATTTATTATCTTAAACATTTTTTCATAAACTTAATATTTATCTCGAAAATTATATTGTAAAAATAATAATTACACAAATCTTGCAAAAAAAAAAAAAAATTATTTATTTTGTCGATAACTAAATATTAACATTAGACTATTAGTAAAATATTTGTTGTTATAAAATTACGCTAAATATACCAAGACACCGATAATCGTAGTTTCATGTAGTGGTTGTGATCAATTACTTTTAGTCCCAGCTCTTAATACTGGAACAGGGATTGACCAGGCAGATGCAATTTTTCATATGCTCAATGATTGGTGCATCACAGAAAATGTTCAAGCTTTTTGTTGTGATACTACGGCATCAAACACTGGCAGAATTAGAGGTGCTTGTGCGCTATTAGAAAATTACTTAGAGCGTAACATTTTATATTTACCATGTCGTCACCATATTTATGAGTTAGTTTTAAAATGTGTTTTTGATACAAAACTATGCACGACATCTGGTCCAGATGTACCAATATTTAAAAGGTTTCAACAATATTGGGGAAATCTAAATACCGAAAAATTTGAACCTGGAACTATAAATGAGTTTATACAAAAAAATGAAAGTGATGTGCGTTCTGATGTAATTAATTTTGTAGTTGATTATTTACAAATTAAACGACCAAGGGAAGATTATAGAGAGTTGTTAGAATTGACAATTATTTTTCTTGGGGGAGTGCCCCCTCGAGGAATTTCTTTAAGAGTACCCGGAGCCATCCATCATGCCAAGTGGATGGCAAAAGCTATATACTGTTTGAAAATATTTTTATTCCGAAGTCAATTTCGTTTAACACAGAAAGAAGAAATGTCTATTGCCAGTGTGTGTGTCTTCATTATTCGACTATACATAAAAGCCTGGTTTGTTGCACCTATGGCTTCGAGAGCACTTTACCAAGATCTAAATTTTTTAAAAGATTTAATAAGATACCAATCTATTGATAAAAGTATATCTGAAGTCACAATTAAAAAAAAAGTGTGGCCATTTGTGGTACCTATCACCCAAAGCAGCTGCGTTATCGTTTTTCGATCCACACGTACCAGTAGACACAAAAAGAAAAATGATTGCAGCTCTTAATATGGATACAGAAGAAGATAATATAAACCGATATTTTTTGAACCCAAAAGAGTCTGTTGGTATATTAAATAAAGGCCTTATAGAGGAATACAATACAACAATTACCAATGATGAAATTCAAAAACAATATTTGCTCCAAGTTGTGTGGGACTACCGCAATAAATACCCAGACTCCAAGAAGAGTACTATTTTACATAAAAAGTTTTAAAAAAATTAAATCTGAGTATAAACTTTAATAAAATAAAATTTTTTTTTTAAATATTTGTTTTATGAAAAATGTATAAGAATAAAAAATACACAAAATGTTATTTCAAAAAAATTATGTTCTTATACTTTTTTCGATACAGTCATTATTATTTGTGATATACTTGAAAAACATATCAAACTATGTTGTTTTCTACAAAACAGGGATTCGCAACTTCAACCCTTTTGTGGCACGGGTTAATATTGTCCGATTCTCCTAAAACTTTTTATACATCGTTTTTATAAGTATTCAAACTAATTTAGCTTGTATAATTAACACATTTTCAAGGTTCAGTTTTAAGGACCACCCTAATATATATATATATATATATATATATATATACTGGGTGATTCTTTTATCAAACAACACTCATTATTTCAAAAAGTGTAAATTTTTTTGAAGATATTTTTTTACATAGTTTCAAGTCGCTTATAAAACAACGTTTTTATTAAAAAATTATATTTTTAATTATTTTTTATCCTTATAATTTTTTAAGTTTTTTACTTTTTTGAATGACAACATAGGGTTTTAATTTTATATTCTAAAGTAGAATATTTTTCTTAGTATTTTGATACATGAAAATTGAATTTGGGGCTAGTAGTTTATGAGTTATAAATTATAAGTATTTAAAGTTTAGACGAGTGGTGAAGTGGACAAACATTTCGCGGGGTAACTTTTTTTATCAAAACCAAACCTATCCATAATTTTTATTTTATTTTAAAGCAATCAAATAGTCGTATCAACCATGATACGAAATTAAACCAGAATTGTATAAGTCCAGAAAAGTCGGGTGTTCACCTCGGCGGGGGGGCTGGGGAAATGGCCAAAACGGTCCGACGTTATTTCGGGGGTTAAGGGTTGCTCGAAAAATTTCCGTTTTTGTCACACAAATTCACACTAATGGCGCACTAATTTTTGGTAAAAAAAAAATCCAGAAAAGTCGGGTTTTCACCTCGGAGGGGGGCTGGGGAAATGGCTAAAACGGTCAGACGTTATTTCGGGGGTTAAGGGTTGCTCGAAAAATTTCCGTTTTTGTCACACAAATTCACACTAATGGCGCACTAATTTTTGGTAAAAAAAAAATCCTGATAATTCGATTAATTACACTTAGGGGGGGGGGCCAACGAACATTTCACCAGCCCCCCCAAAGTTTTTTTGAATTTGTCCTAAATGCTTAATCGCACAAATTCTGAAAATGTTCGCACAAATTCACACAAATTCCACACTAATTAATGGTGAAGAAAAAACTATGATTTTGAAACTTGGGGGGGCTGGTGAAATGTACGTCAATCAAACGGGTATTCCGAGGGAAAAAGGCAAGCGTGATTGCACCACTGTTGGACCAATTATACAAAAGTGTAAGCCACCAGGGGGAATCAACCTTGTCAACGGTTTACTTGCAAAGATATTTGCACATAGACAATAGGGATCCAGTAATAGTTTTCTGGAATGGAACGACGGACATAACATTAATTAAACGGTTAAGAATAAAGGGTATTTTAGCATTTTTAAATATATCAGCATAATATAGTATTAAAAATAATGATGAATTTAATCTAGAACTAACAAATTTGGAAACTAAAAAGAAGTTTTATATTCAGGGTATTTAGGAAAATTAAATAAAAAAAAGTCAGAATGTTAAGATTAACAGAAGCGCATGGATTAATGAGCGATACTAATCATAATATTAAGTGTTACGTAATCTTAACAAAATGTCTATTCAATTATGTAGTTTCAAAAATAAGACCCATATATATATATAAATTAACGAGGAAGGTAAAAACTTAATTTTATGTAAATTTTAAGTAAACAAAAATTTATGGTTGCATATGTGTATGACAATTTGAATAATTATTCATATAGATTTAGTATAATAATTAATTGGTGGAAGATATAATTATTATTGTAATCAAGGGAAAATACTTACATTATACACTTACATTGTATACTTACATTATATAATTACACTTTTAATATTGTAATTTCAGGTACAATACTATTTTATTTTTTTAAAAGAACTATTGCTCCTTCTTACTAACACTAGTTATTTAATAATTTATGTATTAATCTTATTCTTACTAATCACGATCAGGGCCGTCTTAAGGTTTTACGGGGCCCCGGGCCCAACATATTTCGGGGGCCTTACAATACTTACTAAATTATGGTATATAAATTTTTTAACACATAATGCATATTATTTATTAAATATTACACTTAAAAAAAGTAAAAAGTGAATTTTTGTTTAAATCTCTGTTACTTTATTCTTTATTTTACTTTCAAAATAAACGGTCAAAAAATACTTTCCTATTAATTATAACGTCAAGATATTAATTATTCATACATCAATATGTTTTATAGTTAAAAAATAAATGTAATTCATTAAACAAAAACTAATATAATTTAAAAAAAAACATGATATAAATTTGTCAATTATTAAATACTCTTTAATGGTTTCTTCCTAGCTTTTTCATTCGCAAAGTCTTCAATAACATTTTCATAATCTAAACTTGATAGTAGTTCATGTTCAATACTCATTAAAGATAGGGAGTTTAACCGTTTCTGGCTCATTGTACTTCTAAGCTCTTCTTTAATTAAATTTAACTTAGAAAATGAACGTTCCCCACTGCAGTTGGTAATCATCATTGATAAAAAAATTCGGAAAGATATTATTATGTTTGGAAATGTTTCTTCTAGTCTATTTGATTTTAAACATTTGTATGTACTAGAAATACTGAATTCAGAAATATCAAGTTCCGATAGATACGCTTTTAAGTGTATACATTCTAAAATTAATTCATTTTCATTAATATCTACGTGATAAAATTCCGCAAATGTTTTGCAATGGACTTGTACTTCTTTTGTCTCTAAATTTTTTAAATTAGAGAAAAATCCAAACAGTTTATTTATTGTATTGTATGATTTAGCACGAATTTTTAACTGAGTTATTAATGTATCTATTATTGGGAAGTAAGTTTCTATTTTGAATTTTTCACTACCTGAAAACGATGTACTTTTGTTTGTCAGTTCACCGGGTAATGTTAAATGAATACTCCTCTTCTTAGTTCGTTGGTGTAAATCTTTATAGTCCGAATCTGGAAATTTTTCTCTAGCGGAACTTTCATAACTATAAAAGTTATCTCTAATCTCACTTAGAAAACCAGCAAGAGAATCAAATAATTTTGAACCGACGTCAATAGTAAGGTTTTCTTTTTGTAAATTTTTGTTTGTTTCATTTATTCTTGATAAGATTTTACTCCAAATTTCAGTAAGAACAATATTTTCCAACTTTTTCATTTTCTTAATTAAGCCATGGGTTTCGTTTTTAACATTTGGTGAAGTCTTATCATCTATTTCAATTGTTTTTAGAGCATCTAAAATTTCCTTGTAACCATTACACAAAGCAGTAACAGCATCAGCTCGAGCAGACCATCTAGTTTCTGATAGTGACTTTAAAACATGATGTGAGCCTAGGCACTTTTTCATGATACTCCAACGATAGGTAGAACTCGAAAAAAAATTATACAATTTTTGTACAAATTGAAAATAACTTACTGCTTCCATAACACATTCTGCTGCACGAACCCCTACCAAGTTCAAAGAATGAGCTGCACATGGAATAAAAATAGCAAAATTACATTTTTCTTTTATTCTAGCTTGTAGACCAGCATATTGTCCTGACATATTTGCAGCATTGTCATACGACTGGCCACGACAGTTATTCAAACTAATCTGATTTTTTTCAAGAAAAGATAAAATAACTTTAAATAAATACTCAGATCCATGTTCATCAATAGGAATAAATTCCAAAAAACGTTCAACTGGAGTATCATCATTAACATACCGAATAATGAATGTCATTTGATCAATATGAGAAAGATCAGGAGTGGAATCAACACTAATTGAATAATATTTAGCCACTTTTAATTCCGAAAGAATTGCATTTAGCACTTGTCTCCCCATTATGTTAATAAATTCATTACAAATATTAGCTGACAAATATGAAGGATTTCCTTTGCCTTGATTTCCATATTTATTTAAATGTTCTAAAAGAAATGGATCAAATTGGCTTATTAACTCTAAACAGCCCAAATAGTTCCCATTGTGTTGAGATCCAATTATTTGATTTTCTCCGCGAAACGCAATTCCTCGTGACGACAAAAATTTTATTACAGCAACAATTCTCTTTAATGCTTCTTTCCAATAATTTACTTCTAAGTTTATTTGATAAGATATTTCTTGATCTATGCGACCATTATTTTTGGTCCTAACAGAAAAAGTCATGACAGATTCTCTGTGCATTAAGCTATTTTCATGCTCCAAGACAACCGTATGAACATGTTTCCAGTCATTAAATCCTTGTTCACAACTAAATCCAGTTTTTGTAGAAGAAAAGAGACGACATACAAAACAAAACAAAGCTTTTTTCGAGGGAGAATATAAAAGCCACGATCTATCGACATTTTCACCATTTTTTAGTTGACGAGTGAATATTGACTTGGTTAAGTGTCTCACTTTAATTTTACCATTTGATTCTGTATAATTTCGTGTGGAATTTGAAAAGTCACTATCTTTATTTTGAAAAAATTTGGAACCTTTTTTAATATACATATTTCGTTTTTCCTCAGTTAATGTATTCCAATTTCCGGGATCATTTGATACTAATGAATTGTCCTCAACTGTTTCTGGAGAATCAACGAAATATTTATTAGGGCTTAAAGTAGGATTTTGAGATACTTGTGATTGTTGGTTAATTGTTATCGTTTCTTGGGATATTGGTAAAACTAAATTAGTTTCTTCTTTGGGAGGAACAGAAGAAAAAAAATCTGTAAGCTTAGGTAAAGAATTTATGATTTTTTTTTCGTTGATTTCTTTTACGATTGCTCTCTGCCTCTTTGAAGCACCACTAGGATATGAACGCTTTGACATTTTGAAATGACAATATTTTTGTCGATAGTTAGAACATC